TGATATGTATTCCATTTCAAGAAATTAAGCTTTTATGATTTAAATTTAACTTATCAATGATAACCCTGGTATTTAGATGTCTGAAGGGACTATTTCAAATTTAATTGTAATTTGTTTAATTTTAAAATGCATTCAGCTAGACTTTTTTTTTCAGTTTTTTTTTTACAATAATAAATGTTTATATGAGAAAAGCTTTAGCATTTTACATTGTATACAATAGTACACAATGTACTATAAATAATATATTTTCTTCCTCATTCTACAAAAAGAATCCATGTGCAATCATAAAAAGTCATTTTATACACCCTGTTTAATTCTAAAGCAAATTTTGAGCAGCAGAAATAATTTACTTTTGCATTTATCCTTACCTCTTACAGTTTTAATATGTTCGTATTTTATAGTGAATTCTGTGTAGAAAATCCATATCAGAATAATAATTGTTTTCTTAGTAAGATTCTTTTAATATTCTGAATTAGTTTTAATATTTGTATTTTTCCATTTTCAAAATGTTCCATTTTATTTAAACTAGTAATTTTGTTGTGTTTTTGTAAATTTGTGTTTTTTGTCCATTAAAAAAAAGTCTATATAGTTTTTATTCATTTTTATTTCAGATTTATTTATTTTCATAGCCTAAATTAAGTTAAACTAAATGAAAATGATAAAAGTTGCTTTGGCAAATAGCTTAAGTAAAATATATATTTTTTTATTTAAGTTATAAGTTATATTTTATTGCATTTCAGTTCAATTTTATTTTGTAAATTTTGTTACTTCAAGTTTTAGTTTTGTTAATTATAATAACCCTTTTTAATACACCCTATTCTTAACAAATGCCATTTTCTCAGTTAAAATTAAAACATTTAAAAACAAGTTAAAACAATAGAGATAAATTTACTCGAGACTAGGCTTTCCAGAGAATGAATCTTCAATATAAATGTACTTTAGACTTACTGCACAGGTTACTCAAAACAAGTGAACATTTCTGAGAAGTAATCAAGTATCCCTGCCCTTCTCATCTTTTAGGAGCATGATGCCTAAAGCCCTCAACGGGCAAATTGTAATGGAGAAAACGCCCAGATACTTCGTCTCCCCAGAGACGCCAGGCCGCATCCACGCCATGTCACGCGACATCAAGCTGATCGTGGTGGTGCGAGACCCCATCACCCGCGCCATTTCAGACTACACCCAGATCATCTCCAAGACGCCCGACATCCCCAGCTTCGCGAGCCTGACATTCAAGAACCGATCTACGGGACAGATAGACTCTCTCTGGAGCCCGCTGTACATCGGCCTGTACGCCAGACACCTGGAGCGATGGCTGGCCTACTTTCCGCTCTCGCAGATCCACTTTGTCCACGGTGAGAGGCTGATAAGCGACCCGGCGGGCGAGTTGGGCCGAGTGCAGGACTTCCTCGGCCTGCAGAGGATCATCACAGATAAACACTTCTACTTCAACAAGACCAAGGGCTTCCCTTGCCTCAAAAAGCCAGAAGGCAGTAGCAAACCCCACTGTCTGGGCAAAACCAAAGGCAGAACGCATCCTAAAATCGACCCGGAGGTCATTCAGAAACTGAGGGAATTCTACCAGCCTCACAACCTCAAGTTCTACCAAATGGCAGGCATGGACTTTGGATGGCAATGACCTTTTCTGACCATTAACACGTAACGGCTCCATACTGCGGTTGATTTCTTGAGCATGAGGCTTAAGATTAAACTGAGTTGGTCTGAAATGTGATATCCTAGGATGGCCGATGGCTCCGTAGCTGTTCAAATCAATGCGTCTGCCAGATAAATAGAGGTCCGCACACTTCAGGTTACAGTAGTCTTTTCATACCGTCGGTGTGACTCAGCTTGAGGGAACTGATAGAAATGACCTTAAATCATCCGTTTAAGTAGCACTTTTCTGCTCTTGCCATTTTGATGTCTTTTTTATGTTGCTTAGTCAAGCTTCAATCATGTCTGTTCGATCCTTCGTATCAGAAAGAGTCTGGATTTGAAATAAACTGTGTAGCATAGACATATTTGTCATAGTTGCAGTATTTACACAGAACAGAAAGAGATATTGTAGCGCCTCCGTGTGGGCTGGTCTACAATCACATTCTACATCCAGTGGCTCAAACTGGTTTAGATTGTCTGCTGTAACTGGTTCAAATGTAGACAATATGCAGATGAGGCCGGTCCTTTTGAATTTCCCCTCTGCATGCATGAATTTGCACTAGTCTGAAATGCAGCCCACTAGAAAGCCAATAAATTATTTTAAGTTCTTGTGTAGTTGTTTTTGCTCTGTTTAAATCCCCAAAATTGGTCAAATGCAATATAAATGTTAATGCAAAATAATATATTTCTTTACCATTTTTTTTTTTAATGTTTCACATAATTCTGAAATAAAATGATTAATTGTATCACGTCAACAAAATCCCCTCATGGTGCTTTTGGCTAATAAAAGTGCAGAAGGTGAACTACCATTCAAACGTTTGGAGAGAGTTTGATGTTTTCAAAAGAAGGCTCTTCTGCTCACCAAGGCTGCATTTATTTAGTCACAACTACAGTAAAAACAATAATAATGTTAAATATTGAAAACAGCTTTTCTATGTCCCAATTTATAACTGTGATCAAAGCTGTATTTTCAGCATCATTACTCCAATCTTCAGTGTCACATGATTCTTCAGAAATCATTCTAATATGCTGATTTTGCTGCTCAAGAAACATTTCCGATTATTATCAATGTTGAAAATAGTTGTGCTGCTTAATATTTTTGTGGAAACCATGATACATTTGATTTTTCAGGATTCTTTGATGAATAGAAAGTTCAAAAGAACAACATTTATTTCTCTCTACTGTAACAGCCTGTAGGTATAGTTTCATAAAATGGTAAATCAATATGCACTATGTTAATACCAGTAAACTGAACACTACTTACCATCAATGTGAGTTCTGGTGCTGAATGGCTTTGCACATCCAGTTGTTTTTAAGCAACGCAGTTGACCCTTAGCAAAGACCTGCCCAGTTCAAGCGGCACGTGAACCGTTCATCTCTTCCTCTTTACTAGTTATAGCATGAAATAAACATGAATGAACATCAGAAGACGTCAATACACACCATTTTTCAAGTTCAAATCCACCGACGTTAATCTACTCTGTTTGTCTGGTTTGTTTGGCAGCGTTATGATTGGTCAAATCACCTGTCAATCAAACTCCCAGCGAAGGGGTTGATATTTGTACATGACAAATGAACATTATTTTATGTAAAATATAGGCCTATGATATGTGAGCTTTAATTGACACACAACTTTGATTATTTCTGAAAAAAAGATTAAAAAAATAATTGTTTTATTAATTTTTTTCCCTCCGGTCGCCTATTCATAGCCATAGGCAACGACTGTAATGTAAACAGACAGTGTGGTCACAGCTATGAGGCACTACTGATAAACATCTTGCATGATATTTTAAAATAATCAGAATAATTACAACAAAAAGAAAAAAAAATAATAGCGGAGACAAGGTTAGCAAGCAAGCTGGTCAGATTACGCACTTAAAAATAAATGGGGATTTTCCGACTTTCAAGTGATTTGTTTTATACACGTTGTCATATTAATTATAATACAAATGCATTTTGTTTTATTGACCACAATATTATTGTTCATGATTGTTAAGAGTGGCACTTTTGACTAATTTTTCTTGGAAAAAAAAAAGAAATGCAAAAGAGAAGTTCAAGCGGCACGTGAACCGTTCATCTCTTCCTCTTTACTAGTTATAGCATGAAATAAACATGAATGAACATCAGAAGACGTCAATACACACCATTTTTCAAGTTCAAATCCACCGACGTTAATCTACTCTGTTTGTCTGGTTTGTTTGGCAGCGTTATGATTGGTCAAATCACCTGTCAATCAAACTCCCAGCGAAGGGGTTGATATTTGTACATGACAAATGAACATTATTTTATGTAAAATATAGGCCTATGATATGTGAGCTTTAATTGACACACAACTTTGATTATTTCTGAAAAAAAGATTAAAAAAATAATTGTTTTATTAATTTTTTTTCCTCCGGTCGCCTATTCATAGCCATAGGCAACGACTGTAATGTAAACAGACAGTGTGGTCACAGCTATGAGGCACTGCTGATAAACATCTTGCATGATATTTTAAAATAATCAGAATAATTACAACAAAAAGAAAAAAAAATAATAGCGGAGACAAGGTTAGCAAGCAAGCTGGTCAGATTACGCACTTAAAAATAAATGGGGATTTTCCGACTTTCAAGTGATTTGTTTTATACACGTTGTCATATTAATTATAATACAAATGCATTTTGTTTTATTGACCACAATATTATTGTTCATGATTGTTAAGAGTGGCACTTTTGACTAATTTTTCTTGGAAAAAAAAAAGAAATGCAAAAGAGAAACTCTTTTTTCCCCCCTCTAGCAGTGTACGGTCAGTCGGTAAAACATTGTCTATAGCGACACCCTCTGGCCAAAATAATCAAGTGTTTCTAAGCAAAAAAATGAACATAAGAAAAAACGCATGATTCAGGTTATAAAGGTTCTCTTTATTATTATAATAATGCATTGATTTAATATAGTGATTACTTTGTGTCTTGCTGAATTTGTAGAACACTTAATATACATTTCATCAACATAAAGTCAAAGAAATCCAATAAATAAAAACAACAACCTATCAAACCAAACAAATAAACACAGCAAACAGCTCACTTATGAGAAAACACCAAATATCAAATTAAACATGACCAATCTGACATAAGCTGACATGCATTTAACACCTTAAGTCTAGAAGGAGTTGGTCAGTGTACATTACTGTAAAAAAAGTATAATTCATCTAATGTATATGTTTCATTCATTATTGCACATAAAATGTAAACAGTCTCTTTAGACGGTTCATAACTGAATGGATAAATTGATAAGTGATTTAATCTTATGATTTGAATGAGATCAAATATACAGAATCGAAAGAGATGATAAGGAATTCAAGTAACTTGACCTCATGGATCATGTTCTTCCATCCTAAACAGAACAACACAGCGTCCCACAGTAAAGCCACTTTCTTTTATCCCAAACAGTTGCATGCGCTTAGCTGATCTAGAATTCAATTCTTGTTCTTTTCACAGACACATATAGATCTTTGCACTCTACAGAATGATTAACAATTAAAAACAAAATAATTCTGATTTTTCTTTTATATTTGAGAGCTGTTGAGTTAATAAAGCAGAGCTAAATGAAATAGCAATCCTTACATAGCCTAATTTAGATATGTGTTGAGATTATTATGGATGATCAAATAGGCTATAAAATAAACTGTTCCAGGACTTTTGCATGCTACGGTTAAAGAACCAAGATCAATAGCACAAACAAAGGCACTCAGCAATGAAATTTGTGTCTCATTAGAACTGATCTAGAAAACAGACCCTCAGGATTGATTTGGAAATGACTTCATAATACAGCAGAGGGAAAATCTAAAGCAGCAGGCAGCATTCACAAAAAGACGTTTTCTACTGAACGAGTGTGGTGGCTCTCAGAAAATGGGAATATTTCTAATGCAATTTCAATGGTTAGATTTTTACAAATGCCTTGTCACATTTTATTCTTTAGGATTGAGGAAAGCCGTTCATTCGTCGCAGGTCTGGTTCCAGAATACGTTTTACACATACAATGTCAGCAGCACATTAATAACAAACTAAACAGCATCACCTTCAGACAACAGCACAACATCAAACCAAACATTATGCAACAGTTATATAATCTCAACGCATCACCTCCAATCAAAGCTCCCACGGCTGTCAGAGTCTGTTAATGACACTAGAAGAGCGTGACGTCGATGATGACCGGCTTCAGCAGTACTCCTCTCCTTGTGGAGACGGCAGGTCGTTGAGGTCCAGGAAGACTGAATTGGCGGAGAGCTTGCGTCCAGAACTGGACAAGTCCAGAAACTCCTCGGCCGAGCTGGGGACGGAGCTGATGTACATGTCCCACACCTGGTCTGGAGAGTCCAGGTCCAGCAGCTTCTGCTTGATCTTCAGGTTCTTCTCAATGTTCCTTCGCTTGTGTTTGAACTCCAGAATAGTCTTGGTGTATCTGTTGATGGTGGTGACGGAGGAGGCCATGCAGGCGGTGAAGGAGCTCCAAGCCAAGCTGGAGGAAAAACGTCAAGAGGCTTTCAAGTCAACATCTGTCTTATAACTAGGTATTAACAAGGGCAGAATCATTAAGGACAGATTATGTCCCCCAAAAGAGACCCCAAGAAACATTCACAAGTCGTTGTATATATGCATATATATATATATATATATATATATATATATATATATATGTTTAGTGCCATCAAACGATTAATCGTGATTAATCGCATCCAGTATAAAAGTTGTTGTTTACTCAATATATGTGTGTGTATATTTATTATGTATATATAAATACAAACACATGCATGTATATATTTAAGAAAATATGTTATGTTTATATATATATATATATATTATAAAATATAAGAATATAAATATATAAATGTATATGTATGCAAATGTTTCCAAAATATATGCTTGTATGTGAGTGTATCTATATATACACATAATAAATATACACAATACACATACATATATAATGTAAACAAAAACTTATTTTGGATGCGATTAATCGCGATTATATGATAAGTGGTGTGTGGTGGTGTTCTGAAATGAGGAGGCAACGTTTTTTTTTAAAAATTAAATATAAATTCATGTCCCAGTCACACTTTCTTGGTTAAATAAACATTACTTACACTATCAGAAAAAGAAATCAAAAACAACTATTTTTACATGAACAATTATTTATTAAAGCCAAGTATGAATCTCATCAAGTTACATTTATTCCAAAATAATAACTCAAGGCAATAACAATTTAGCAATTTTAAACAATTTTAAATTGTTTAAATTTAACACAAACATATATTTGTGAACTTATGTTCAGCTATTCTTTTTAATAGCTAACTTTGAACTATTTTTGAATTTTTCGGATCATCAGTCATCAAAGCTCAGTAAATACTGAATACTTGAAATTTGCACCAAGCTGGTTACTCACTAAAAACTCCCACAGATCATGTTTTCATGCCATGTTAAGCATTATTTTGACATAAAGTGGTTATATCTATGTGTGGGACTTGTTTACTTACTTTTTTTCAATTAGTCTTCTTATTGATGGTCTTATGCTTATTAAATCTTATTAATGAATTGATATTGTTCATTCAGAGTGATTCACGAATGTGGAACGTGCACAAACACAATAGGCGGGATTTATCGCATGAACCAATCACAGGTGACTTATTTAACTTTACCAAGCATTGTGTACATTTTTCTATTCTATTCTGTTGTTCTATTCTAATTTTGAGCTCACATTCAAGCATTGTTAATATTGGTTTTGCATTTGCAGCGCATTGTTTCCAGAGCAGTTAAAACCCCCAAGACATGCATCCCTGGGCTTCATTCTAATGCTTATTAAACCTAGACAACAGAAAGCATGACATGAGTGAACGTACATGTAAGACCAGCTGTAGTCCCAGTTCTGGGGCTTCCAGTCCTCCGGGCCCAGACTGACGGTCAGCTGGAACGCTGTAGTGAACATCATGTGTGCTACCATACCGAGAAGACCTGTGAACCAGAGCAGAGACAAACACTGTTACAGACCGATCCCTCTGTCACCAGCAGGAGGTAGTGATGACCCACGGCACAGATGAACACCAGCAGCATCTCACACACTCATATAACACTGCACCTCAAACAGTGACCACAGAATCCTGCGGTTCCACATGTTCAGCTACATCTAACACTGATCTGATGGACATTTTCTAATTCATGTATCATTAGTCAATGCAGTTTGTATGAGCTCATATTAACTACACTACATAACCAAAAGTGTCCAGGTATAATTTTAGTATCATTTCAGAAAATGTAAAAAAATGATAGAAAAACAAACAAACAAACCATAAAAGAAAATCCTAACAAATAAAAATTTTAAACAAAAAAGATTCACTTGAGTAGCAACATTGTGTAAAAGCTTGCTTTCAGAGAATATATCTTGAGGCATTGACAAGGTATAAATAGCGGTATTGTCATGAAAATGAATGCCTAGTTCTATTAGAAATGTTGGTCTAAGCAGATTTCATAGCTGTATACTTCATTTTTTTGCACCTGTTAGTATTGTGTGTTGCTGAAATAGCCAAACCTGTTCATTAAAAAGGGGGTGCTTTGACACTGATTACAATGTTTCCATGGTTCCCTATGTGTGTGTATAAGTTGGGGAAAGATCCCCCAGAACAATGTGCATTTAAATTTAAAGTGTAACATATTTAGATTTAGTTTATCATGTGCAGGATGATGATGCATCAGCCAACGTGTTATTAGGAAATAAATAGAAACAGTTCCTAATTTAGTTGTTAAAGCACAACATGGAAAATTATAATTTATTCTATGACTTATACACAGGCTTATGAATATTTACATCTTTAATTGTCCATAATGTAGTTGAGGATATGTCATAATAGCCACACTATGAATGCAAAGTAAAATGATTTCACTCAAATAGGTTTAAATGAATAATAAAGGCTGTACCTCTGTTGCATTCTCATCTTGTATATATGGATGTTTACAGTTGAATAATCTTGTCTGAATGCAGTTTTCACTCAATATCAATCAGAGGACATGCTAGGAAATCTCTGAGTGAGTGAGTGAGTGAATGAATGAATGAATGAGTGTGTGTTAGCAGCAGCAGCGCAGGTCAAGCTTTCCTGCTTAATGGTGTCATTATGTGGAAGTGAAAGCAGTCTAAATGCTCTGGCCAGATGGCAAACTGGACATAATCAACAGCGTCAGACCTGCAGTCCGGACAATCAAAGTCACCTCACCAGAAATAGCAAGGACAGAGGTAAATTACACATTATTTACAGCTCACTAAGTCTGCATACTGAGCCACCGCAAATCCACTCAATAAAGCCAAATCACAGAATCGAGTGGAAAAACAACAAAAGCAACCTGAAAGAGACGGTCTGAGCTTTCAGACACCCTATAAAAAGTGGTTTGTGTCTCTTATAGTATCATGCCCATCTAAATCCTCACACGCGTCTGACCGATAACCCTCACGTCTCCATGACAACCGCAGCGATCGGTCTGTATGCAGACATCTTCACGAACACACACTAGTGAATAATAATAAAAAGTGCTTGTTAACTGAATTCATTCATGAATCAGCAGATTCACCGGACAGTGCAGGCCACGTTCAATTCAATAACCCATCAGAATTATGATTAGTTATTTTTATTGCCTCATTTTTTCAGCAAACTGCCAGCACAAATGGGGTATAGGATGTGATTGATTCCTTCAGGCCGACTACATAATGGATTAATACTGTAAAAACACAAAATAGATTCTCAAGAGTCTCTCCAATGACCCTCTACTGTCAAATCTCATCTGCACTTCCAGATATTCAAACCTGCCACATCGCATTTAGGTACGAGGCATTTAGAAACCAATAAGCTTAAAGTCTTTTTCATACTAGACTATTATATGGCTTTAGAAGACTTACAATATAGCTCGAAGGACATTTTATGATAATTTTAGTTTTCCCCTTAATGAAACTGATTTAGGTTTGGAACGAATTCAATTATTATTGTTGATGATTATTATTATTACTATTATTAATATTACTGTCTTATCTATAATATAATATATATAACGTTTTTAATCTGATATTATATTGCATTAAATCAGGGGTAGGCAAGTTCAGTCCTAGAGAGCCGTAGTCCTGCAGAGTTCAGCTCCGACCCTAATCAAACACACCTGAACAAGCTAATCAATGTCCTCAGGATTACTTTTTTATTTATTTTTTTTCAGGGTTGGAGCTGAACTCTGCAGGACTGCGACTCTCTAGGACCGAACTTGCCTACCCCTGCATTAAATGTAAGATGATGTTGATGATGATGATTATTAATAAATATATAAAGGTATGATATTATCAGTTTGATAATATAATATAATAACGTAACAGGTGTGACAATGGAGTTGGATCCAAATGCAAGGCTTTAATAAAGAGCGTAGTCAGACAGGCGTTGTAAAACTACAGCTAACAACAATATCCAAGGCAAGGCAAAAAAGAGTAATCCAACAACAGGCAAAGGTCAGGGCAGGCAGCAAACAATCAAAAGTCAGAAAGACAGTCCAAGGTAAACACAAAGGCAAGGCAAGGCAAGGAAACACGGTTAGAAAACACAGGGGACAATAGAAACGTTTCTATTACCCTTCAAATTGTGCAAATTAAAATTGCTAATTTAAAATACGTCAAATGGAAACGTGTCAATTTCGCAAAAACGCCCATATATATCGCAAAAAAGTTTTTATGCTCGCATGAGGTGGTTTTTCAGGCAATGCGAAAAATGAATAATTCGCAAAACTGCAATGGAAACCTTTTTTTTCGCATTTACAGTTCACATGACGTATGTGAAAAATCATATGATCATTCTTCAGTGTACTATAACCTCCAAGAAACACTTCATACGTGGCCACGCTCCAGTATAAAGGGGCTTTCGCTATCATTAATGCTTAGACAATTTACACTGCACACGTCAAGTCCAGGGTGAATGACAAAGGTTCAGGGGTACTCCAGCTGGTGATCGTAACAAATATAATATAATGTAAATTAGTGCTGTCAAAATTTGCACACTGATGCAGGTGATTAATTTTTCCAGTTTAACGGCATTAAAAATATTTAACACAGTTAACGCAGGAGCGGAGCCACCCCGCTCACAACAGCTGCTTCTGCTTCATTTTTCTTGACAAGAATTGCGTTTATTTAGATGTAGAATGTCTTTACGACCACATCAAATAGATTACTTTTCAGATGCTCACTCCACTTCGACATTTCACCAGGTGCTAAACAAGTGGGCGCAGAAACCGTACAGGTGAGGAGCTTCAATAGAACATCAGTGAACTGCGGTCAAAATTTTCTGTCCTGTCAGCTGTTATACTGTGCTCGTACAGCTTGCTCACTGTAGCCTGTATTATTTCATATGAACTCTTTCCCCGCCAGCGTTTTTGAAAAAAGCCGCCAACATTTTTGCTGATTTTCACTCAAATTTCATGGCCCCCAGAATATTTTGTTGCATGAATAACAAAATACCTTCTTTCTTTGCGTGCACATTTGGGCGGCATTATGCTAATATTTCCACATAGTGAGGTAGATATGTGGGGGCGTGTTAGAACGAGCCGTTTTAGGGGGGCGTGGCAGAGTCTTAACTTTGATAAAGAATATCTCTTTGGTTTTGAGACTTTAGTTTTTGCAACTTCAGAGATCTTATCTATGCACAATCAGCTTGTAACACTCCGAAGAGAAAGGAAAACTTGAAATCGCATCATATGACCCCTTTAAGCAAAAGATCAGAAAATCAAATTTTTATCAAATACTACATCTGGATCATATTCAGTACAATGATCAAAGCAAAGACGCAGTAGCACTTTGTCCATCCAGCGTAGTCCATCAGCACTCCCAAAGCTTGCACAGTCCTTTTCCACTTCCTGGATCGACAGTTCACTCTGTAACATTAGGCAGTTTTCACTTATATGCTGTTTATTGTTGATGATTGCATTTTTTTCATATGCATATATGCATACATTCGAGATCGCTTGTTTTTGCATCTTCAAATCACCTGTGATTTTGATCTGCACATTCTAGACTCATTCAGGAGATGCGTAATAGCGCCCCTGAGCATATAACAGCGAGAAAGTGGAAATCTGGAAAATTCCATGTTTGGCAGGGAAGCATTGTCTCACAAATAATTGAATGTGAAATTATTGCAATATAAAAGTATATTTAAAAACTTTATTATTAGGTGGGATTAATCGCGATTAATTTCATAATATAATATAATGTTATTATTATTATTATAAAAAATCATGCAGGTCTGGAACAACACAAAGATAAGCAAATGATGAAAAAAATTATAATTTTTGCTTGGCATATCCCTTTACTTCAGGAACATACAAAATGTTTATTGCTATTGTGTAATAAAGTAAGGTTTTTGGTGTTTTCGATTGGTCTAAAGACTTTAATCTACAACAGCACTAAAATACAAGTTCAATCAAGTAAAGGTAATGGGTTATTAGAGTCACAAAACATAATTATCTATGTGACAAAGTGCATTAAACCTAAAACTTTTCAATATACATCATATACTTCATGCTTCACTGCATCTAAACGTCTGGTGTGTTAAGAATGCAGTCGAATGTTCTCTTCTGTTGATTGTGTCAAATGAAGAAAGAAGCTAATTGAGGTTGCAGCCCCTTCCCATGATGCACAGCATTCATGAGCCCACTCTCTCATGAAGCTCAAGAAAGAGATGACAGTGGGCCGCAAGTTCATCCCTCAGCCTTTATGCAATAATAAAACTCTAACGTGACACAAAAGGTCTCTCAGCAATCTTACTCTGTGTTTGACACACATTTAGGCCGGTCAAAGCCTCATTTAAATACGGAAGTGCATTTTTTATGATATGGGAGGTATTCATTTTAATACCAATAAATGTGATGTGCAAACATTCAATAGTAATCCTGAAGTCTGTAGAAGGTAATATTAATTAATAGGAATTTTTACAAAGGAAGATATTATTAATTTGTTATTATTACACTTTGACATAATATAACATAATATAATATAATATAATTTAGCCTCCTGAGACCCTGCATCCTCATATGAGGACATTATATTTTTCTCTGAGACTATACATGCCACAGTTTTAAGTCTGGATGTCCTGTAAAGAGCACATTCAGGACATATTTGCATGTTTCACCATGACCACGCCCTCTCCTTGGTTTTCATTAATTTAGTGATCAAATGTAACACTCTTATGGAAATATGATAATATTTTGTAATTATCATTCAAATCTGACTAATTTTTAAACTGTTTGTCATAAATCAACATCTCAGGAAAATGTTATGGGGTTTTAAATCAAAATATGACTTTCTGTTATAGAATAGGACATCAATTCAACTCAGTTGAGGACACTAAAAGCATTTTTATTACGCATTTTGGGAGACACAACAAATGAATAGGGAAAGAAAATATATTTCAATATTCCTATGAAATATTATATATTATTATGAAAATCTTGTCAATTATTACTCCCATTATTACACTTCTTTTTTCATTACATGTTACCCCAAAAACACATTAATATGCAAATTAGATTTTTTAAAAAAAAAAAAAAAAAAAAATTCCTATTCATATCTTTTTACTTTTTTTTTTATTGAGTCCCGGTGTCTTCTACCGAGGACATAGCATAACATTTCAATGAAATATAATTAAAAAAATAAAATAAAATAAAAATGTTCTAATGCTCTAAACAATGTAACGGCATGAAAATATACTAAATCTTTCCTAAAGAAAGGTCTTAAGAGGAAATTCTAACCTAAAATCACAATGATAATATCTTAACTGTACATTATTATCATAATAACATAATATAATATGAATAGTGAATATAATGTAATATAATATAATTAATATAATATGCAAGTACTTCTGTATTTTTCCTTAAGTAAATATCTGTATTTAGAACTTTCACTTGTAATGGAGTAATATTTGACCAGCACCAGAAGTCGTACTTAAGTACCAAAAGTAAATTAATTTTTTTTATGTCAGTGCACTGTTTTATTATTGTTGTATGTAATACTTGCAATACCTTATGCCTCTAAAGCAACTTATATATACACTACAATAAATTACACCTACTGAATACACTGACTACCCTGTCGTCTCTTGGGAGTAAAGAGTTATGTTAAAATGTTAAAAACTGAAATGAAATGTTAGAAATGAAAAGAAAAAAAGGTTTAATTTAACACCCAACAAAAGCAGCATGGTAGTGATCTCACACAGCTCTAGCAGTGTGTGCACACATCTACGTGTAGCCATTCATCCACATTTGAACCGAGTGGACAGTGAAATTGCTGTAAATACAGACTGATAAGAAAAAAATTAAACCTGCTTTAAAACCCAGCAACACGACTGTAGCTGTATAACTTTACAAAAGCAACACACTGCTTTAACAAAAAAGCAAAACAGCAAGATTAGTACTTTGTACTTTGATGTCATACACAGAACGGTCAAACACCTACTGTGCGCACATAAATGTTCTGTGGATTTATAGGTAATATTTCTGTTTACACAATTTTGCAAAATCTATACAATATTGTGTCTAATATATACCACAATATTAACTTCTTATTATTGAATTGTTGTAAAGAAATATCACATTTGCAACTAGTCAGTGTTCAAAAATGCTGAGAAATCACATTTTAGAGAGGAAAAAAACACCCATTGACTTGACTGTGTAGCACCCAAAGCTGCTACATAGTAACGACTTTCTACTTCGAGGACCTTGATAGAAATGTAATGTAGTGAAAAGTACGATATTTGTCTTTCAAATGTAGTGAAGTTAAAGTCATACGTTTCCAGAAAAATAATACTCAAGTAAATTTACTTCATTACTGTCAACCTTTGAATTTAATGTATTTAATATTAACAACAACATTAACAATAGGTAAGATTAAGGCAAGATATCAGTTTGATTATTCATATTATACACTCTTGATAATGTTGTATGAAAAATATAATATAATATAAATAGTCACAATGATAATATCTGAACTCTATATTATCATTATTATTAGTAGTAGTAATAATATGATCAAAATGATCATAATAATAATAATATATACAGGTAAGATATTACTTACCTAAGTTTGACTAATCATATTATAGACTTAATAATATAATATAATAGTCACAATGATAATATCTTTATATTAATATAATTAATTAATTTTTGTAATTAATTACTATTAGTAGAAGCAATTGCTGTTGTAGTAGTAGTAGTATGTCTCCTTTAATGCAATATAATATGAAAAATATTATAATACAGTATACAGATATTATAATAATAATAGCATAAATGTAAGATATTGGTTGTATAGTGCAACTCCCCCGCCATACAATGGACTTGCATAGTCAATGCTACACTGAAATATATAAATAAATAAGTACAGCAGATTTAAGCAGATTGAATTTCGACGCATATGTCGCCATAAACCCTTAAATTGTGAAACTGTCAAAAATAGCCTGGATGACATTCAAGAGTACTGCTAACCAATACTGTGAGGCTTATATGGGATTTTGAGCCGGATGTTTTTGTATGTATCTGAGGAACAGATAGGGCTCTGATACCACATAAATGCAAAGACATTCACCACAAAAAACTAGGCAGAGGACAGCCTGCAGGTAGATAGACATCGACCAGTAATGCATCTCCATGAGGACAGCTGTTAGTGGCCTTTAAAGCATTGCAATAGCTAGTATAGAAGAGGGACGTTTGCTGGACCTGTTTTTGATTTTTTAATTGGTCATACAAAAACAATATGGCTTGAATGTGAATATAACAGGACAGAATCACAAAGAGTGTGCTGACCTTTGAAGGGTAGAGCCTGACAAAAGATGATCACTCAAAAATCAGCATCATATTCAGAGACAACGACATCAAGCACATGCTGATCATCTACAACTAGTGAGGCCATTCATCTGGTTTTAGGTCAGACCGTGCGGTTTTGAAATGCCATGTTTGCCTACATGCGCAGGCTTTTGTCCTCCTTTTAAGATTGCTATTTTATACTTTCTGCAATGCTATGTAATAAATAAATACATTTGCTAATGTTATGTTCAAGTCATTATGTAGTGGTGTACAATGTAGACACAATATTGTCAATATGGGCTGTTTTGCGTTATTGCTATGCTCCACAGTCATTGCATCCCCGATCAACACAGTGGTGTTCTGTTCTTGAATGATCCACCGTGTTTGAACAAATCAGTTGAGTCAATGATTCAATAAGCCATTCATAAAAACAGTTCCTAAATTCGAAACTGCAAACTAATATGTTACTATTACTATACTATTTTATTATATACTACTACCTTTGGCATATTTTTATGGTAGAAATAGTAATAGTATGCTAGTACATGGTTCCAAAATCAGCAAGTCATGCCGTTCATTTCCGAATATTTTTTAAATTAGTAAATCAATGATCCACTTGTTAAGACAGTGATTTGTCGCCACCTACTTGTGGTTTTAGTTTCATATTTAAAGTATAATTTCATAGCTCTCTAATCAGTATATTTTATATTTAACGCATTAATCTCCTAACATTACGTGTACAATTGTAAATGCAGTGTAAATGCATTCATTGCATCTCTGAGCTGCATTAAACAGAGTAAATTCATCTAAATGTCACTTCTGCAGTGCAAAGATGGCTTTTATCAATATCGACTTCATTTAATTTGTAATTGGATTTCGTATATTTGGACCTGACAAAATAGAGGACACATCTTTTTTACTATGGTTAAAAAAATGGTCCTTATAAAGGTAAAAATGCCCCTGAAAATCAACATATCATCTGTTATTTGGTGTTATAGAAATGCCACCCTACATGCAACACGTTACCTGACAGGACTGTGAATATGGCAGCGAAGGTATTCAGTTTCAGTCCATCGATGACGTTTCCAAAATGGCAGACCTCGATGGACATGAGGATTCCTCCGGTGGCCAGCAGTAAGATGTAGAGACACTCGGTTACGATGCAGAGCCACAAAACACCTGTGAGGATATGAGAGAGAGAAGCGATGTGTATCGAGGGAATTTCTGACAGGCCCTGAGGAAATTATGGATGGAGCAGTCCAGTTCTATCAAGATGAGGAGAGAAAGCAGATGGAGCTGCTGATTAAGATGATGTGGAGCCACAGACACTCACGGAGAATGACAAACTGAACTGCTGGGGCTCATTTAGATGGGCCTCCCATCGGGGAGCGGCTGAAATATTTATATACCAGAAACTTGACACTAGATTTAAAAGGAAATTTCAACTTTGAAAGCATGCGGATGCATCTACATATTTCATAGAGTTTGGCGGAAATCTTCATGCTGTCACATGCACTTTAGGTGGGAGGATGATGACAATATTCACACAGATGTCAAAGTGTGGAAAATGTAGTCTAGTTTTCTAGTTTCAGACACAGTATAAATGAAAACAAGGATGTGAGAGACAAAAGTTTACTAAAAAAATAATAAAGTACTTCAGAAAGATTTTGTAATGTTTTTTAAAAGAAGACACTTTTGCATTTATTTGATAAAAAAATTGTGAAATGTTATTACATTTTAAAATAGTGGTTTTCTATGTGAATATATGTTAAAATGTAATTTATTCCTGTGATCAAAGCTGAATTTTCAGCATCATTACTCCCGTCTTTAGTGTCACATGATCTTCAGAAATCATTCTAATATGCTGATTTACTGCTCAAGAAACATTTCTGATTATCAATGTTGAAAACAGTTCATATATTTTGTGGAAATCATGATACATTTTATTTTTCAGAATTCTTTGATGAACATAAGTTCAAAAGAAAAGCATTTATTTGAAATAACACTGTTACCTGATCAGTTTAATGTGTAATAATGTAATATGTAATATTACTGTATATAATAAAATTTGTACTAACATTTTCTATATACAGTATATATATATATATATATATATATATATATATATATATATATATATATATATACACACATATGGGTTTTAAATATATATATGCACATAAAACATGAAAACATATAATAGTGACGGGCATATAAAAGGCATAAAGTTTGAAATTCTAAATAGGGACTTGGCACAAAATTATTTTTTCTTTCCTTTATTGTGCACATTCGTATTTGTCGTTGAGCCATATATGAACACATTGTGCATGTATCACCCACAGATAAACACAGACTGACTTCATCATAATGCATAAACACAGATTACTCATCAATAAAACTCTGTGGCTATAATCCACAAGAATATCATTATACTGATACACGCGTTTCATTTCCAGGGATATAAAACCTAAAGATGATTATTTCCCACGCTTGATTTAGACCTCAGCTCTGTCACGGTCAGTGCAGAATGAGCTGAATTACAGTGAGGAGTCACCCTGAGTCATCATCGTCATGCTTAACTATCATTATATCTGATGGATCTTTAGTCTGGATCATGCATCTATCAATTACACTCAGAAACAACTGTGCTAAAGATGCTGGCGCTGCTGCCTGCTGAGAGAATGAAATCGTATTGACATGTTCATATATCTACATGAATGAGAATGAGGCAGGTGTACGGCTGGCAGAAAGATAAAAAAAAAATCAAGCTTGATTAAAAGTGACTGGACCTCCAGACAGCATGTGCAAGATAAAAGAGCGGGCATCAGGAGAATCGCTTTCATTAATGACCTGAGCGACACCCTATTTAAAACATCATGCAAAATCTGAATATTCCCCAGAGTTCATAATGAAGAGTGACAGACGTACCTCTCTCATGAGGAGGAGCCACGTTTATGAAGCTTCTGCATTTCTCACCTGCAAGAGGAAAAGACATTCAACACAACGGTGTGAGACTCACAGAGTTTTTTTTTTTACTTCATGATCATCAATGTGTGAAAAAACATTAGTCATTTTAAGAGAGAATGTAAAAATTATACTGTAAAATCCTGTTAATTGGTTAGATGTAAGTTATGGTAAAAAATATCATACTGTAGTATAAAAAAACAATTTCATTAATTGTAAAAACAGGAATTTTTTATGTCAGTAAAGTGTAAGCTAATTCATACTCTTTTTTTTTCTTTTACAATATATAAAAACAAGCCTTTTAGTAAAAAATTATTAAAGATTTGCATTTTTAATTTATGATATTTATGGAAAAGGAGCATTTCCAGAATACATTTCAATGTTTTCTTTGTTGCAGTTATATGCATTGGAGCGCTTAATATATGTTTTATGTCATTTTTTAATGAATTTTAAAAAGGAAACAGGCTTGTTTGATAGTCATCATAATTTATTTAGTGATGTTAGGAAGGCAAAAACAAGGTTTACACACTTCAAAAGCTGAATATTCACACTGTGATTGGATGAAGCCAACCCAACTAACAGGGAACGCTGACTTTCACTAATATTTTGTAAGGGTTATAAGACAAAACATTCTTAAAGTAATGTTTATAGAACGTTCTTATAACATAATTCATATTTGTTACACGTTCTCATAATGTTGAGAGGAAACATGTTCTTGGAATGTCCTTATGATGTTATCTGTATGTTCGCAGAACTATGTTCAATAACATTCTTCAGGAATAACAATGTAACATTCTACTACCATTTTCAAAACGATATAATGCAATGTTCCTGTTAAAGAAAAACGTTCTCTAAATGTAAAAAAGAAGAGGGTGTTTTGAACATTGAGAGAACATTCAAAGCTAGCTAACATTCAAAGTAACGTTTTCAAAATGCTAGAATGGAATGTTCCTCCAACGTTCGGATAGAAAAACGTTCTTTAAATGTGAAAAATGGGTATTTTAAACGATTGAAATGTAACATTCTCGTAACCTTTTGGAATGTTCCTGTAACGTTCATAAAAAGAAACATTCTTTCTACGTTCAAAAAACGGATGTTCAAACGTTTCCAAAGAGAAATAACGTTTTTATAACTTAATGGGAACGTTAACGAAACGTTCTTTGCCGTTTGCTGGTGTGACGGGAAGAAAAGCCGCATCCTTACCGACAAGGTCGACGTTCTGCTCGCAGGAGAACCAGATGCCGGTGTGGAACTTCCTCAGAACAAACTTATCCTCGCCGGTCTCCCAGATATACTGAACCAGCCGGCTGTCGTTGATGTTCGAGCTGTTGTACCTAATGCAGTGCGTCTGTTTGACGGCCACCGGTCCGGTACAGAAGGGCTTGACAACTTTCCGGTCCCCCTCGCACCAGTAGCTGGTGGTCAGCGCGGATATGGCGAGGATCAGCGCGAGGAAGTTCAAGGTGAGCGCGAGCGAGGCTCTCCGCCGCCGGTCCATCCCCGTGATGATGAACACGGATCCCGCTGCTGTTTAACCCCGGTGGGTTGTCATGCTTCTTCTCTCGCTGCTCTCACAGAGTTCTGCACGCTGAGCTCCTGCGCGCTTCATTTCTCATGTGATGTCAGACACACAATGAAAGCATGAGGCCACGGCGCCCAGTCAGATATTCCCCGTCAAATATGTAAATCAGCATGGATCCAGTGCTCACAAAGAACCCTGGCAACATCTGGATCTCCTTCCTTATGAGCTGACACAATTCAGTGGACTATAACAAGTGTGTTTGCAATTAGGCTACCTCTGGCGTTGTTTAGGTTTAGGGTATAATTTTTAGGTTAGGCTATAAAAACGTTGTTTTTGAGATGTTTCTAAAACGTTAAACGTCCAGTTATTTAAAGGGATAGTTCACCCCAAAATGAAAATGTGATGTTTATCTGCTTACCCCAAGGGCATCCAATATGTAGGTGACTTTGTTTCTTCAGTAGAACACAAATTATGATTTTTAACTCCAGCCGTTGCAGTCTGTCAGTCGTATAATGCATGGCAATGGTAACAAAATCTATGAGAGTAAAAAAAACATGCACAGACAAATCCAAATTAAACCCTGCGGCTCGTGACGACACATTGATGTCCTAAGACACGAAACGATCGCTTTGTGCGAGAAACCCAACAGTATTTATATAATATTTTACCTCTAATACACCACTATGTCCAACTGTCTTTGGGCGCGCGCACGGCATCCGGTGTGTGAGGTGTGTACGCGCTCTGGCGTAGAAGCACACAGCGCCTTCACGACATGGCGGCAACAACAATACTAAAAAAGTCTTCGTCCTGACAAGCTGATACCCAAGGGCAGAAAACTTACGACGACGCGTAACAGATTGAACACACCGTGTCCATACAGTAATGAACGTCATTTTGTGTCACAGACTCTTCCTAAATCCTACATTTTTTAAGTCAGGTTTGAGAAAAGCAAGGCTTGTGATTTCGGTGTGCAGTTGTTCGCTGTACTTGAGACTTTAGTCTTTGCAACTTTACAGATCTTCTTTATGCACCAAGAGCTTGTAACACTCCAAAGAGAAAGGAAAACTTGAAATCGCATCATACGACCCGTTTAAGTGGTTTTGAAAAAAAAATGTAATGACAATTTCAATAAAATCAAGAGAAGACAACAATGAAACCATACATTTTCATTAGGAGTGTTCTAGCTACCATATCTGACTCATTTTAAATTGGAAACATTGCCATTTTGCATAAATATTCCCCTCAAAGGGCTGATTTTGTGTCTGTTGAATGCTTCTGGAGATGTTGTTGAACTCACACTAGATGAATTGTGGAAGGAGAAGCATCAGGATGAATCTACTGACAGAGGACTTGAGGTTTAAAAGATACAGATTAAAAATCTAATGTCATAATTTCAATAGAAAATGACACTGAAATCTACATTTCTACTATATCTGATTAATTTCACAGTGGAAATGCTGCTGGTTTGTGGGACGGTGTTTGATTGCAGGTTCTCGTGAAGGACGCTGTGGAAAGCAAACTGCTTCATTTGCCACCTAATTCATTTCTCTGTGTTGGATAAGAGGCCGGCTGATCAATATTAGTGACAGAGCACTGAAGGATCTGAAACACCCTCGTGTCGACTGGATGTCTCTGGAGAATGAAGTCAGTGTCACGTCGGTGGAGCTCACAAGTCTTCGTCCTGACAAGCTGATACCCAAGGGCAGAAAACTTACGACGACCCGTAACAGATTGAACACACCGTGTCCATACAGTAATGAACGTCATTTTGTGTCACAGACTCTTCCTAAATCCTACATTTTTGAAGTCAGGTTTGAGAAAAGCAAGGCTTGTGATTTCGGTGTGCAGTTGTTCGCTGTATGTACAGTTGTTGCTGGAAACATAATTGTGTTTTATTACTGCCATCATTAGGTTGATGTATCTGTGGCCTAGAGAGCACTAGGCCAGGAACGAGCAGCAAGAATGGCACAAACTATCAGCGAGAAGAATGTTCCAGTTGGATTACAGTTTACCTGACCCTCGGGAAATCACTGCGGACCCATCATACGTGGATATGGGGAAAGCTGGGAAGGTTTACACACTCACATACATACACATGTGACATGAGGATCAATATTTTAAAGAGAACAGACAGCGCAAGTGATTGAACGAGACTGAGCATTAATGGATGGTAAAAACTCTTCGTCAGTCCAATAAAATGACTTGAGGATGTCTTAGGGACAGTTGCTTGCTTAATTAGGTGCAGCTTAGCCATTTACAGAGGATCGTTTATTAAAATGGTGTGCAGTGACCTTCTGAATGCTTTTACTTTATTACACTCTTAAAAATGCTGGGTTAAATGCAACCCAGTGCTGGGTAAAATAGGGACAAACCCAGCAATTGGGTTGTTTTGACCCAGCGGTTGGGTTACTACTCAGAAGGTTGGGTTAAACATTTAACCCAACCGCTGGGTCAAAACAGCCCAATTGCTGGGTTTGTCCCTATTTTACTCAGCACTGGGTTGTATTTAACCCAGCATTTTTTAGAGTGTACTATGTTGACAGCTTTATATTCTGCAGTATGTGTGTAGATACTAATGTAGTGCAGTACACTAAAAAAATTAAATGATCAATAAGTCAACATATGACAAACCCAGCAATTGGGTTGTTTTGACCCAGCGGTTGGGTTACTACTCAGAAGGTTGGGTTAAACATTTAACCCAACCGCTGGGTCAAAACAGCCCAATTGCTGGGTTTGTCCCTATTTTACTCAGCACTGGGTTGTATTTAACCCAGCATTTTTTAGAGTGTACTATGTTGACAGCTTTATATTCTGCAGTATGTGTGTAGATACTAATTTAGTGCAGTACACTAAAAAAATTAAATGATCAATAAGTCAACATATGTTTTTTTTTCATTATTTTAATGCATTAAAATAATTGAACCAATTAATTTCAACTTAAAGTTATTCAACATTAAACTAGACTACACTCTAAAATGGGTTGTTTTGACCCAACATTTGGGTTACTACCCAGCGGTTGTGTTAAACATTTAATCCAACCGCTGGGTCAAAAGAACCCAATCGCTGGGTTTGTCCATATTTTACCCAGCGCTGGGTTATATTTAACCCAGCATTTTTTTAGACTGTATATGAATTACTCAACGGAGGACATAAACTCAATAAAATAACGAGTATATTACAACAAAACCAAATATTTTTGTTAGGAACATACACTTCAATTAAATTTAAGACAGCGACTTGAAGGAAAAGTTCATCCAAAAATGAAAATTCTGTTTACTTTCATTTCACAGCAGTACGTCTTTGGTTAATGTTCGAAACACAAGTTAAGATATTTTTAATGAAACCTGACATGTTTCTATCTCTATTGAAAGTCCAGGTAACCAAAACAATATTCATAAAGGTGTTGTAAAAGCAATCGACATGAATCAAACGTTTTAATCCAAGTCTTGCGAAGAGAAATTAATGCTTTATATAATGAACAGATTTAGACCTCATGTTGTGTTCTGGTCATTTTTACCCAGAGAGGATTTTCATTTCCCCCAAAATTCTAGTTACTGTTATCACATTAGTATAAAACTTACAGATTTTGCACATACAGGGTATAACAACTTTGCAAAATGTAATAGTTGTACGTTTTGCCAATTTTTCTCACATCTTTTCACATGTGTGCAGTTCCCGTTGAAAAATGACTATAACATTCTGTAAGTGTCTTTTTCTACGCTATATTATCAGCAAATACTGGTAATATAAAAACATAATTGGTCATTGTTCTGAGCTTATGCTCTTCAGTTTTTGAGTGAGGAAAAAAATACATTATTTGTGGATAATTTGAGCAATATTCAATATTCAAAAACTGAGGTGCATGAGCTCATATCAATGAGGCCTACGGTCAAGCAGTTCCAAAAAGGAATACAAAACCTGTGCTGACTGAAAGAAAAAGGTTGATAAAAAGATTGAATCCAAGATTTGGTAATAATATAGCAACTCCTTTAAGTTGAGTCGAATTAGCTGGAAATTGTTTTCCAGTGCAGCAGCACTGTCTCCAGCGTTTGTGTGCTGTATGTGTGTATTCATAGCAAGTAAACATCTCTGAGGAATGAGAACGTTGGATGACAGATTTCTGGAAGATAACAGAAACTGTTTTTCCATAAATCTTCAAAAAAAGAAGCAACACTTTCTTATTCCCCCCCAAAAGGCCTGTTTGTGTTGTCTTGAATGCTTGTGGGAATGCAGACAGAGCCGAACAACATTTGCACACTGAGTCGCAGCAACCATGTCTTTAATTGTCCACCAAAGTTTGGTCTCAGACTCGTTATGAGCACAGCGGCTGCATTTGCTGCCAGCACACACACATTATTCTGTCCGGAGAGACGAGGTGGAGGTCAGAGAGTCTTTGTGTCCTCTATTCTAGCATTCGTTCTCATGTCCAGCGCTCTTCTGATGAGCTGCAGTCGCTGGAGATTATGCTGCACACCTGCGCTCAGTGTCCTTCAGTTTACCTCAAGGTCAAATAAGACTGGGCATATATCATAACAACACAATACGGATTCTCGGATCACTGCTTGGGAAAAAATACCTGCTTCTGTATTGTGTAATTGCTTCTGCCGCAATATCTGCGCTAAAGCACTGATTAACTGTGTCCCCTAAAGGCAAAAGTGCATTATTTACTCGTTAACTTTGATAATAACGGAGACATTTCGTGCTCCTAGTTGTGTCTCCTTCACAGCAAGCCATGGAGCTCATTATTATGTCCCGCTATCATAGAAGCTCATTACAATAAGTATGCCATTTATCAATCTTCTGTGGTGAGTTACAATTACAAGATGGCCTCGGAGAATACGATGAAACTGAATTTAGGCTGGATGGGACTGTTATTGTATACCGTCACGCAGGCGAAATGGCTTAAGGTTACTAATCTGAATATGATTTATGAGTCACAACAGCGAGGCATGAGGACGTTTGTTTGCTTGTTTGTTTTTAAAGCATGGCCCTGTAAAGTCTGAATGGATGTAAGGATGGAAAATATTTCTTACATTACAGTGGGCCACAGGTGGCTGAATAGACTTCCCAATCAGTTCACTGATGGTATTG